AACAAAACCACACAGTAGTTTTTACCAAACAGTACCACTTCTGAATTTCCTGCAGCACTACACAGCAGTCACCAGGTTAGAAAAAAGGAAAGCTGCTGAAAGGCTTTCCTCCCACAAGAAACATGAACCTACTTGTTAAAATTTGTGCAGTGCTTGCTTACCTCTGTGTCCTGGTCTCTGTTTCTTGTTTCAAAACAAACTGGTCTGAAAAAGTGGCATCTTAAGTAGTTTCTGTTAAGAATGATGCTACCACTTTACCTGCTATCCTCCAATCTCCCATGCGCAGGCCAGCCTTGCATGCAGTGATGCAGCATTCAACAGGCAACATAGATTCAGGACTGCTCTGAGGAAAAGAAAGAATAAACAATGAAAGAAGGCAGATACACAGAGAATATTTATCCTATCACCTCAGCAGGTGAAAGGTGTTTTGAGTGCACTGCTTGTTTCATTATGCAGAAATAAACCATCTTTTTTGCCCCACTGGGTTCCTTAACTGCACTAATTAGCCAGTGATTTTTACATCAAAGAAAAGTTATCTCAGAGGTGAGAATGCTACTCACATTTGTATTACATAATACTCACCTTTGTATTATACCAAAACGGAGTGTGTTATTAGTGATTAACACTCAGCCATCTCCCAGGTGTTGAGGAAGACTGATACCTGTTGTGGAAGGAAATTGCTAAATGAACTGCAGGTGTAGCAAAGCAGTTAAATAAACCAGGCCCAGAAAACTGCAGTTTCTCTAAAGGAAGGTTAATGGTTGGCTTGGAAAACAGGCACTAAAGGAGAATAAGTGTATGCATATATGTGACAATAAGAAAAAAGGCTGTCTTGCAAACCTTCTTTTATATGTCTGCACCAAAATACCCATGCTCCCTCTCTGATTCACCTGGCACAGAAATTTCCACAAAGAGCACAGTGTCTCTGCAAGATATATATATATATATATATATATATATATATATGGATATATATCCATGAAACCTTTGTTTTTTTCATAAAGGCAAGGGAGAGAAGGAAGCTTCATTTTAAACAGTTAATCTCTTTTAATAAAAGCAGACAGCCCATGTTAAAACCTTCATATAGGTTATGCACATGAAGACTGGTTAAACCAAAAATAAATGCTACTGAAAAGAAGACAGTATAGCCTCTTGTGTTATCTCACCAGGGGACCTAAAGTGCATATAAATGCTAACACACATAGGCAATTCCTTCTGGATCAGGGTGAAGCCTTTTACGCCTCTTCACGGAGTCCTTGGCTGTGGCCCAAAACAGGGCTGCTCTAAGCACATTTTCTCCCCCCACACACCCCCCAAAAGCCTACAGCAAAATGTACACCATCATTGCCATGGGCCTTGAGTAAATGAGAGAAGGAAGGAAATAAGGTTTGGTAACATTCCTCCCCAAACCAGACAGTGAAGTCCGAGTGCTGGCTACACACATAAGCCAGCTTCAGTGGTGGAGCTACATCAGACTGTCTCCCAGTCCTGGATCCCTGGAACCACTTTGGAATCAGGATATACCTCCCTCCTTCCAACATGGAAACAGTCTTGCCTGTGCTAAAATGATTTGGTCTTACTCATTCCCTTTTATGAAATTCCTGCAAATTTTGGCAGAGTAGTTTTGGGTGTTAGGCATGTATTTAGAACGTACCTTTTGTGTACGTATCTCTACGCTACTGAGGTAAATGGTAAAGAAATGCAGCATTTAGCATCACAGATGCTTTCTACTTTACCTTTTCTTTCTCATTGCTCAGGTGTCTGAGGGCTTTGAGGAGTATGTGTAGTAAGGAAATACAAGATATTAATTTGGTTTCATCAGACCCACTGTGTTTTGAGCTGATACTGTGCTTATAGAAAGAAGTTGCTCTGTACAGGATGTTTTTTTGTCAAATCTTGTGGCGGCTTTTTTGTTGGTATTCTTATCCCAGACAAATCATATTGCAATTTATCACAATTCAGTGAATGCTTAGTGTACTTGCCAGGTTGCTTCAAAGTTTTGTCGTGCTTAGAGGTGCTGATGAAAACACATTTTCATTCTCTTTGCTATCACAGCAATTGCCCTTATTAAGCTATCCCTTTTTCACAGTTAGTATGGAAGAAGGCAAAGAAAGAATCCTTCCCTCAGTCAGTGACACCTCAGCTGTTTTGACTGCAGCGATTGAATCCAACAGATTTTTCATTCGAAAATGCAAGTGGAAGTTGTGTTTGGCAGAAAAGGGCACAGCCATTTTGAGACATGTGAGATCCATTCCCTTTTAGTCACAAATTCACAAGCTGTGGATGCTCCAATTTTCAAACATGCTTGTTACAGTTAGCTCAGATCCCAAGTGCTCTGGTGTATTTAATTCCTGAGAAAGCAGTTCTTCTGGAAGATTAAGGGAACAGTTTGCTTTTGCCTCAAGCCATTAACATTTTAATAAAATGGTCATCAAATATGATAACAGTTTACCTTTAGGGAACTTTATCTATTCTTAACCTTATTAAGCAGCAACTTTATTTTTGCTGACATGTAGATTTTCCAATCCTTGTCTAGACTGATTCCATTTTTTAATTCTAATTTTATGTTCCGTTACGTTGTGTTCCTTTGTTGAAAGTGTGTTTTGTGAGTTTGGTTGGTTTGCTTTTGCAATGATTTTTCAATGCTTTCCATCTCTTAGAGTCAATATATGATCGCATCAGAAGTGGTTAGGAAGAGTCTTCTGCTCCTGTCTGTCTTTTTCATACAAGTAAACCTCCAGGTTTTCACACCCTGATTTCTCAAGCACTGTGTTACCTGAAAATTATTCCTCTCCCCTAAAATCAAAATTCAGAGAAGAACCGAAATTTGTTTAGCAGAAGGTATAATTATTCACGGTTTCAGATGTCTTCCAAGATACCAGGGTTACCATTATTCAGTGTAATTAGTGCTTTCACCAATTTAGAAGACTGTACAAACATCATGGCCTCATGCTACTAGACAATGAGTGCTTCCTATGAGATGATAATGCCTTTGCCTCCTATAGATTTATCAGCATCCTGCAGATTCAGTATCCATGCTGGTCATACATAGGAAAGACTGAACCAGTTAAGAAAAAACAGCTTTCAGCCCCAATTCTCCAATGTGCAGGATGACTAGAAACCCCAGTCTATTACTGGAAGTGAACACCACCCTTTTTTTTCAAGTCCTCAGAGATTTTAAATAAGGATTTACTGCATCCATTCTCTATACCTTCATATATCTATGTTATTACTAAGCTTGCAACAGAATGCTCTGGGAATCTTGCAAGAAAGAAAAGGCCAAATGTATGTTGCGAGCTCAATAAAACTTGCTATACTTCAGGGTGCTTTCTGCATACACATCACATTACTTCTACCTTCACTGACAACTACTGCTTTTAATTGCAGCAAATGGGGAAAAGAAAGGACCTTGTCTATGTCTCCACTGTAATCTCAAATGTCACTGCAATGTAAGGTGAAGATGTTCAATATACTTTTAAGTTAGTTCAGCTGGGAGGAAGGCTGACTGCAATTGTGCTGGACTTGGTATCAGCAAATTCCCCTGCTTCCTCAACTCATTTACCGCCAGTTGAATACACTGCACTGGAGTCACGTCTACTGCATGGCAGACTTGCTTCTCCTGGCTGGAAGTCTACTGTCCATAGCAGTAGACTATGTCCTCTGTGCTCTGTAGTGTACCCTGTGGTGTAAACCAAGCAGGCCCTCTGTCATAACAATAAAAAAGGTTAAAAATCGTGAATTTGAGAACAAAATCACCTCTTCTACATGATTTTAAACTTTTTAGATGCATCAAATAATAATCCATGAATCAACAATGGAATGAACAAAAATAGTGAACAGGTTCCTTCCCAGGTTATAAATAGAGATCAGTTTGAAAAGATTTATGGAGGATCCTGTGCTAAATTATTCACAGTAATAATGAAATTATTAAAAAGCCATAAACTGTGAAAAATACACAGGAAGCTCATTAAAACACATTCCTTTCAAATCACTCTGCATGAATCACTGACCTTGTGGAAGATGGCCTCTCAAGTCACTAATAAAAGTCTGAAGGCTGCGATGGCATTCCTAACTCCACCACAAAATATGTTTCTGGCATTAGCTCAGAATTGCTCTGTGGGCTTCCTCATCCATCAGTGTAGGGTGAATAAAGTCTCTGCCCACACTTTTATAGGAAGATCCATTCATTCATGTCACTAAGACCTGATCTAAAAAGTGATCTCTGAATGAAAAGCGTCCGTGATAGTCCCAAAAGCCCAAATTAAAACCTAAAATGTTTTTCTCTGAAAAGATTCCTGGAATTGTTTAGGGCTGAACATATGCCTGTTCCCTTCCAATCTCATGAGGCAAGCCATGGGTCAGATTCATGTCAGCTGTGAACTATGAAGAAATGCAAGCAATTTCTATAAGAAAGCTCCATGGGCTATCGAAACTGTCTATTTCAGTTCTATTATAAAATTACCAAAAATGAAGAGTCTTCAGGGTCCTCTGTACGAGGACAATTTAGCAGACAGCCCTTCTCTTGGCAGCGCTGTTCCCTAGGAACATCCTCGAATGGAAGCTGTTGAGACTTGAGTGCTTGGCCTGCCTCAGGAGAGCGATGAGCGGAAGACCTCCCTGCCAATATGCTTCCAGCCGCAATTGCTAATTGTATTATTTGCTCTTTAAAATGCAATACCAGTGAAGCTGTCCTCACCATCATGAGCAGGCAGAATCACCCACATCTACTTAATCTCCTACTTTATTGCCCATTGAAAAGAAAGGCAGTTTGCCCTAGCAGCATACAACAGGCAGCTGTGAGACAGCAGCCATCCATTTCTACACAGTATACAAGTCTGATCTTGTTTGGCTAATTATCCCATTAACCTGTACCTAAAGATCTGATTCCTGTAGCTATAGGTGACTGAATAAAGGGCAGCAGTGGTGGGCCTGGAATGTGGGATCTGTGCTAACCTTCTCTGGTGTGTTTGTATCTGCCTGAGCCAAATAGACACTTAAGAGACCAGCAAAACTTAGGATTTTATTATCATCATGAACAAATAGTAATTTTTTTTTCTCTTTCTCTCTCTTCTTTTTTTTTTTTCCGAACTGAAAACAGGATTAGTGTTGAGGCATTCAAATACCAAAGGCTTGAGTTCAAAACCAGTCACAATGTGCAAGCTTGACCTGAATGGCTTTGTGGCAGGGTGCATTTGTCAATGCAACTGGAAAAACTCCTAGAGGAATGGAGGTTTACCTGTATAAAACCTGCCAGCATTGCACTAGGGCCATGTGAACTGATCTCGTGCAAGAACACTAGCGTCTAGGCTGTTCCCTTCAACCACACAAACCTTGACTTCATTCTCACTTGGACAAACAATGATGGACATACAGACATACAGCTTTCAGAATAGCATTGATGCCAATTGTATAGTAGAAGTTGCTCCAATCGCTCACACAGAGGAACAGGAGACAAAACCACCATGTTTTTATTGTCACAGCAAGTTCTACAAGGAAGGTGGAAGAGAACACAGCTGCAAAATGCATGCACTAAAAATCCCAGTGGTATAAAAGATTCATAAACCTAACAAAAAAAATAAGATAAGGAGACAAAGGAACTGTCTATGAAGTTAATGGAGAGGAGTAATTATTTTGAACAACACTAGAAATTATATAGAAGTAAAGTAAGAAAAAACTTATTAGAATCTTTATGTTTCTTAGGGACAGAAAGGTTGATGAACATCCAACATTATCTATAAGGACCTCTCAACGAGAAAAGAACAAGGCTGGTGGAAATGCACACTTGGGGTTTGCTTGAAGAAAAGGTTTATAATCTTTCAGGAATATCTTCAGCATCTAAAAATCTGAACAATATTTTGAGACAAGGCATTCTGCTTCTCCAGGTAGAGTTCTCCATTGCAAAGGGTATTTAGGTAATCCATTCAAGAAGAGACAGAGATTATCACACCAAAACTTCACAAGTGATTATGAGAAGTACAGCATGGATATTTGGGATTCAGTAGAATTTTTCTTTTTTGTCCGTCAGCCTACAGAGATCAGATCATTTACCCTGTCCGATTCTTAAAAGCAGAGAATGAAATCCAGACAAAAAGCAGCCTTCTCCATCAAAAATCCTTTTCCTCCTTACACTGAGAAATATTTTATTTTCTTCCTAACTAGGGAACAGCAAGGATCCGGAAAGCTACACTACAGCAAGCAGCTCTTTTCATTAGACTTCTCTTTTGAATATCCTTTTGCATTAGTTTCCAGAAAACTTAGCAGACAGTGGTTTTCATCACTGGTATTCTCCCTGTCTGTCCTCGTGTACAGGATATCTGTGCATGAAAAGAATTTGCAAGGCTAAAGCCAGACTGGAGCCTGCTCAGAGATCATTATATTGGTAACAGTGGACAAAGGAGCAGTATAATTCCCTTCTATAGGATGAGAGTTATCTCCTGGTTGCCCAGCAACAGTTTGATTGACTGATTTTATTCTTCTGTTGGTAATGTTTGATGTAATTTCTGGGCAGTGTTTCTAATCTCAAATGGTCACAGGTTGGTGATTTTCATTCTTGAGTTTCATTTCCTGTGCCTAGAGGCCACAATGCTGGGCATGTGTTAAATTACAAAACAGCTGAGAAACAGGATTCCACAAACAAAACCTCACCTATTACACCTTTTATTGGGTGCTTTTGTTATGTGTGGTTGAGATACACACAGTGGTTTTGTATCAGCAACCACATGCGACTACCATTCCTGCCTGTCAGGGGCTTCCTGCAAACACAGGGATCATATTTTCCACTCTCACACTCACTTTCTGTCCTTTGCTGATCACTTCTCAATATGTCAGTGATAATGCTGATTTTTTCAGAACCTGCTATAGGAAGGACCCCACCTTTGTCTATACATCTGCCACTTTTCTCCTCCAGCGTTCGCAGGTAAGTGTAGCTAAGTAGCTCTTGCTGTCAGTCCTGGAGCTATCAAGCTCAGAGGCAGTGCTTTGTTAGGCAAGGGCTTTTGTCTGGAAACCCTCACTTTGATATGCCTACAGATGCACATCTTCCATGAGCTTCAGAGGGTGATTTGAGAGGAGTTTATTTGGTGTAGATCTCGGTGATTCTTCAGGGACTTCACTTGTGTGGTTTTTAAGTTATCTGAATGTAAAGCGAACAAAAGAATGACGATTTTAATTGTATCCATTGTGGGTGGTGACGTTTTGTGCTTTATTATTTTTATGTGAAGTGTTAGTATGTGACTGACTGCTATGTCAACAGGCACTCCAAGTTTTCAAATAACAATGCAGCAGAATATCCAGGTTTCAAGAGTACTTGTCTCTTTCTGTTTAGAAGCTGAAGAGACTGTCATATTGCACGGTGTATTACATCTTGTGATATGACATCATTTGACCTAACATCATAGAAGCTGAGTGGCATCATGCATGAGCCAGCACAAAATATTATATGGGAAATTATGAGCAGTGCAGAGGTCCCTGGTCCTGTAAGTACTTAAACATGAACACAAATACTTAAATATGTATACAATAGACAATAGACAAGCAATGTTGCCACGTTACTCAGCTATTGCTTTAAAATGCAACTACTACAGTTTGCCATGTCATTCCTCCTTTATGATCAGCAAAAGAAAACATGGTTATAGTTTGTAACACACAAGCAATTCATGGACAGAACAAAAGTGAAGCAGTTTTGCTCATGCATTTGTATCTGACACTACCTTGAGCTTTGCTGTTCTGGGTAAACCAGAAGTGGGAATGATCTTTGTTTTTTTCTCCATCAAACTGTAATCCCTAATCAATAAGAGTTTTGCTGAACTGCAGTTTAGGCTCAGTCATTATCTGGTTTCTCCCTGAGACCAAACGCGTCTTTAATACTTTTTTTCCAATTTAATATTGCTTGTTGGTGCAAGTACAGTAGCACTTCCATGGAACAGCTCATACAACAGTTATGAAACCAATTAAGAAGCTCAGAAATATCCACCACAATGGGACAAGCCCTGTTTATGCTGAAGCTACTTGAAACGTTGATCTCAACTGAATGAAGGTTGCTATTGTGAAGCAGCAAATTCCTGCAAGAAATCAGCATGCCACATTGTGCCCAGGTGCTCACCATGTGGGCTTCCATATCCAGATCCCCTCTATTCTTTGCTAGGCTCATGGGGAGGGCTGCAGAAACGAGCTTGGGATGCCGCACACCTTCCTTTCCCCATTCACTCTCCAAACACCTTCTTAATTTACACACATTTGCATCCTATAATGTCATGGGGCAATCACAGATAAAGAGACTCATTCTCATTTACTTGGAGACTTTTCCTAGGCTTTCCAGCCCAAAGCCAAACTGTTAGATATTTCAAACAATTTAAAAAAAAAATCCATTTTGATGGAATATGGGTTTTGGTTCAAATCGTGAGACGTCTTGGGTAAATGTTTGCATTTCCATACCCACCATGTAAAATACCCTGAACGGTTCACTAATGAAGTAACAATATATTTAGTGCTTTAGGAGCTGACAACAGACATGCTGTTATGCTGGGAGCTGGTACTGAACCATGTAAGCAGACACCAGTATGTGCGGCATCAGACAATTTTCTACTTAACGATATAGGCAACTGATCTGTTGGACATCTTCAAGTTTTCATCTCTTTGGACCTGGGCCATTGGGTTCAGGTAGCCTTGTTAAAAAGGGATTTGCAGGTCTTCCCGGTGCTACAGCCCTGCCAAGCTGGAAGCTACAGACAAGGTCAGTGTCTAGGACTCTCTTGTATTAAATGAGCAAGTAAGCTTATATGCATTGCAGATTCCCTGCCCATGAGATCTCTTGTCTAAAGCAATCTGCTGAAAGGTGATAGGGTTGAAGTGTAGGTTAGACAACATGCATATGGCAGAGGGTTTGTAATATTCTAAATAGCATCCACTGTGTTTTCTTGGGTCAACATACAAAGGATGTTGGTAAATCAATAGTTTAATCCACATGTTACAAGACAATTCATCAAACCTCTTACAGAAATGCTTCTCTATAAGACAAAGCAAGTTTGCAGTACTGCTGGCAGAAGCCATTTTGCACCACATGGCATAATGCAGTTATAGCCAGTGAGAGGTGCCTACAACCTAGCCTTTCTATGCTGAGGGTAGGTGAGCTGGGCAATCCTAGTATTTGGGCTTGGAAAACACTATTTAGCACACAGTGACGTCTTGCATTATAATACGTATGTAGAAGGGGTGGAAATAATGACTGTGTGTTCAACTTTATTTACAAAGGGGAATTTGTTTTGCTTTTGGTTGAAGAATAGGAGCCATTGCTCCCTGGGCATTACAGAGACACAACTCATGGCAGCTCTTTCAAAGGTATAGGTAGGATGCTGTTACAAGAAAAGGGAGGAATATCGCTATGTGACAGTGACAACAGAGAGGAAAAGAATGGGGTACTTGTATTTCACCATTTGATAACTTTGTGTGAATCAAGGGCAGCATTTGCAAAGCCTGGGTCCCTCCAGTTCAGTCCAGAGCAGCATAATCAGACATTAAATTCCCTCAGCTTCTGAAATCAAAGGCAACAACAGGTACCTCCACATATTAGCAAATGCGTGTGATCAGAAGCATAAGGCCTGCAGGTTTGAATGATTCAGGCAGGAACTTTGCAGGTGTACATCTCCACATATCAAATAGAGGTGCTCTTCTAAATTCCCAGATTCAAAAATGTGCTTAGAGCCCCCACCAGGATACATATATTAAATGTAAAAGTTCTTTGACCTAAGGTCTGAATAAAGCAAACTAAATTAAAGCCACAGGAAAAGAACAGTAGGGGAAAAGAACCCTATCCCTTACAAAAATTTGTACAGTCAGATAGAGGCCAAAGATTTTGTTCTGAAACAAGCCTACATAATATAACTGAATGAGAATTCTTGAAAACAATTGAGTGCATGTCAAAACAGGGTTATGCCTTGTGCACCTATAGAATATCCTTGTTATAAAATAGCTGCTATAACACAGAATACTGAGCAACTCTTTTTTTTGCAAGGCCATTAGAGCCTTACAGATACTTTACACCCACATGTAATTGCTCACAGGCTAAGAGCTTCTATTCATATTACTCAAATGCCTTGCCCTAGCTGGAGACAGTTGAAATGAGTACAGTGCGCAAGAAGATAGAGTGAATGAGCTCTAACCTTTCTTCACTAAAGCAGATACCAAAAGATACCAGACTTGTTTCACTCTGTGGATAATGAACACAGTTTAGTCTCTCATTTCACTTACCTTCCAGGCTATGTGTCATTGTGAAAGGCTGATTTTTTTGCATTTTTCTTGTTCTTTTTTTTTTTAGTTTTTTCCCTTAGAGAGACTTATGGATGAGAAGGGGGGGAGTCCATCTAAGAGAATGCCTTGTTCTTGGCTTCTCCTGCTTCAACTTTTTAACTGGAACAAAGGTATAGTCATTTCAGCATCAGTGACTCCAACAGAGCACCCAGTGAAACAACAGATGACATTTTACATACTGGCCTCAGACATGAGCAACTAACTCCCAAGGACATTCCTGTGGTACAATTCTTCACCACCTCCCCACTACCATGGTCACCTTATAACGTGGTTAGTGAAAGAGTCATATCACTCCTGAGGAAAAGGACTGCACCTACAGAGAAGTAAAAACAAAAGAAAAGCTCCATCAGTAGAGACACAGAGGAAAACACTTTCAGGAGTGTGTGAAAGAGCAGAGAGCAGAAGGGGACACAAAACAAGTAGTAACCTGTGTCTCTCTAATAGCTATGGAGCAGTAGGTCTTTTCTTTTCTTTTTTAGGAGTAAAATAATTCCTGAAGGTATTTTTCCTGCATAAGGTTGTGGTAATCGTAAGTAGAAATTCACCAATTTTCCACTGAGTTTGTTAAGCTGGGCAGATTTTTTTCCTTTCCTTGAGCCCTAAATGTGATGTAGCTATTCAGCCCCAATGCCTTCCAGCTCTAGAAGCAGCTACTCTGGGTTGTGCTAGAAGCACAAGCTAGAAGCAACATGGGTTGTGCTAGAAGCCAAGGTCATCGGCAGTGAAAGCTTGTGCCTTTGCACTCCCTCACATGTGTCCCTCCAGCTCCTGCAGTTTCCTTTCCTGGCAGCAGCTGCTCATGCTCTTCATCCTGCTTTTAAATGCAGTAAGGAATAGGGAAGTGACAGTAGTACTGAGTGAACAGCAATGGTGTAATCCTGCAAATGAGCCATCACAATGTGGCCAGCTATCATGTTCTGTGTCGCTTCGTGTTTGATACGTCACATCTAACAAATACCTAGACTGGCAAATACCTAGAAATACCTAGAAACTTCTACTGCTATGTCAGATTTGCTTGAAATAAGCAAAAGTTGATAAAGGGATGCACCAACAGATACAGAGATGGACCATGGTCCTATATATTATGTTTATACAGAAATATGCATAAGACCAGTATTATTGTGGAACTATTGAAAGGCACTGGGATGGTAAAGAAATTCAGCTGGGCAGACCGAAGTCCAGCTTTCCATACATGTCAGTGTAACAGCTTGATCAATGCCAACATTAGAGGCAGCTCAGCATCCTATGCACTTCTTGTCTTCCTAACTCACTCTGAAAGGGGGCACAAGACATGTCAGGTTTTTCGCCAATAAACTACAGCTGAGACAACCTTCTCCACCATCCAAATTAACCTCATCCCAAACTCTTCAGATGAGTTTAGGGCAATCTGAAGTAATGCTTCGTAGAGGGCTGGGCTGACCTGAAATCTGCGGTGTGTACCTGTATGACCGACCAGTAATGATTCACCCCACTCTGCTAGTTACAGCTTATGCTTCACCTCTGAGGAGAAGGTGCTAGAGATAAGGCTGCAGGACAAGATAGGAGCTAACTCTGGCCTTTTTTCAGCCTAAATAGTGCAGTCTATGTGATGCCCAGGTTCCCTACACACACTCCTCTGGTCTTTCAAACAAGCACTCTTCTAAAGATACATCTTTTCTTAGCCTGTGAAATGTATAATACACACTGGAGAGCAAGTGGGGGAAAAAAAGACTATCTCTTTAAGAGTTAAAGCTGCATTGCCAGGTTTCTGGAAGTTGATGCCTACGTTCTCTACACATACTTCTCAAATCTTTCAAACAAGTCCTCGTCTAAAGAATCAGTTTTCAAGATGGTGGCTTGGTAACACTTAGGATAAAATAGAATATTTAAGTTGGAAGAGACCTCCAGCAATCATCACTGCCTCAGAGTGAATTTCACATGAAAAATGCAGTTTCCACAATGCTGAAATCTTTTTAGATTATTTTGTTCTTATTTTTAACAGATTTTTCTCTTTCCCTCCCTCCCCCCCAGTCAGTTATCATCATTAAAGACTTTCTGTTGCTCAGGCTATTTCCAAATCAGAATTCCTCACATTGCTGGACTGGCCTAAGCTATTCATTCTGAAGCAGTTCCAGCTTAAACTGGAATCGCATTTTAGTGGCACAGGGCTTCCCAGGAGCCCATGCCTTCTGTGATGTCCCACAGTCTCCTTCAGGGGATTTGCCATGGGCACAGTGCCCTATAGATGTGTTACGAGAGTTAATTAAGGCCTTGTGGGAAAAGGGGGAGTGTTATATTCCCCATCTTCAACTTCTCTGTACCATGATCAGAAAACACTTTTCTGATGACCCAGTGTGTTTTGGGTCAGTTTCATTTATCTCTCAGCTTGCTTCATGGTGATACAAAAAATGCTCCCAAAGCCCATTTTCAAGGTAACCCTTTGGGGCTTTTGATTCCCCAAAATCTCAAATCTTTTGTTCTCAATTTTCAACAAAGATTAATATTGGAATTTTTTTGTGTGGGTTATAAATTCCTTTTCTTTTCTGCAATTCTAACTACCTGTAATGCTTTCTTGCTATCTTCCCATATATCTGCCTCTCTGTAGTTACATATGATATAAGATTTTTCCCACGTGAATTATCACTAGGACCTAATCCCAGATCCCCAAATCCCATAGTAAAGATCTGTTCTCTCCAAGATGACACAACAGTAGGCAATTCATTGAGCACAGGCAGACACATCTTTTCCATGAACACATTTAGCATCATTGCTAAAACTGTCTCAGTAGCAATTTCAGCTAATAAGAAAATGAAGTTAGCGCAAAGCTTCTGAAAATAAATCCTGTGGAAGACGTCTTTCTGCTTTAATAGAGATTGAATGCAGTCCATTTCTCTTTCCCCATGTCCCAAACAACACATCAAAACAACGTTTAGCAAGTAAGCTACATTTCACAACACACTCGCATCACAGATGGATGTAAAGTAAGTTGCTTGGCAGCATAAATGCCCTGGAGAGAGGAAAGTTGGTTGGTGTTTTGTTGTTGATTTTTTTTGCCTTTTCTGTCCAGCCTGTTTTCTCCCACTACTTTAGAATTGCCCAAGATTATTCCATTATCTCATCTGTGTCTCTAGTGGCTGTTAACCCTCTACGCTGCCACCAGAAGAAGCCTTTTCCCCTGCCCTTTAAATTCAGGTTGCAGAATAGCTGGGCAGCACTGCTGTTAATTCCCAGCGTATCCTGCCTAAGTAAACTCAAACACCATGAAATCACAGGTGTGAGAGGTGCTTTAAAATGCAGGGACTCCAAGCTCTGTTTAACCAAGCAAGGAGGAAAGAGGTAGAGAGGCATCATCCAGAGCAAGTCATCTATTCAGTGATTTTCCCCAATTTTCCAATTTGCTTAACGGTCTCAAAGACATTATTTTCTCAAGTGCACTGGTGGCTAAATGGTATGTGGAAAATGTTATTTTACTTGAGATTTTCCCTTCCAATGGTGGGGCCTCCATAAAGTAGGTCTTGCTAAGTTCTCCCTGTGCTTCTCGGGAGGAGTAAATGCAGGCCAGGTCCCAACATCTGCAATGGGGCCCGTGGGGATCCATCGTAGAAAATTTGGCCCATAAAACTCCATTTCAAATTTCCCAACCTCTCTGCCCAAGAATATCAGAAACATGGCACTGGAAATGTGTTTTCCTGAAACATTTGGTCTAGTCAAGCGCCTTCACACAATGTATGTGGCAAGCAGATGCAACAGGGTCACAAACACTGCTGAGACAAATGCTTAACGATTCGGCAGAAGATGTGTGGATTTTTTTGTTGTTGCCTGCTGCTAGACAACTTCGTACACTGCTGGTAATTGCTGTATCTGGGGTCTTTTTGTTTGTATACTTACGCCTTACCCAGTAGCTTTGTTCATGGCAGTAAAAATATTCCAAACAGCTTGGAAAACTTCCTTTGCTCTGACTTGAAAAGGCTGAATTCAGTTCTCGGGGAACTTGGTGGGAGCTGGATTAAAATGTGGCAAAATTTTTACTTCTTACCATGCTGCTGCTGCAGCAGGTGCTGAATTTCCTTTTACTGATTGGTTAATTTATCCTTTTATGGTAATGATGTACCAAAGTCCCCTAAATGTCTTCCCTTATGCAGGGTTTCCCTGAGCTCCAGTAACAGGAGATACTCAGCCAGCTCAGTGTCCCGAAGCTTCAGCTTTCCCAGGATTTGTCCTGCACCAACAAGTTCTCTGTGTCAGTCAAGGAGATTTGCAATACTTCTTACTCCTTTTCCACATACTCCATCTCCGGAGTATGCCTGTATGTTTATTCTTCCTCCAGAGTGTCTAGCCCATCCAAATCACAGTTCTGGGTAGAACTGGAAACAAGGACAGGCACATCCTCTTACAGCCCAAGGGAGAAGAGGAGGGACAAGGTAAAGTTTTGGTTTTAAGTCTGAAAAAGAAATGGTGTATTTACCTTAACTAGTATCCATTTACAGTTTGAAACATAGGTACATTTATTCCCAGGATGTAACTTGATAGACATTAGCTAAAAAAAAAAAAAATAGAAAAATACCGTTTCTTCGTTCATAAAGAGATCTGCCAGTCTTTGTTGTCCTGTCTTTCTTTGGTGCCCTTCAAAACCATTATTTTGGTATCTTTGAAGATTTTAAACAAAACTGTAGATCTAGTCCTATAAATCATGACAAAACAATTAAAAGAAAAAAGAAAAGTGTGCATGTTCCCAAGTTTTGCCATTTTCCCATCACTGGAGAAAGCATTTTTTAAACAAGCTTTCCATCATCTTTTGAATGCTCAAATACCACAGGGCTGAAACAGAAGCTGTAAGCAGCCACCATGCCTCACAATACAGTGAAAATGTTCTGTTCAAACTGGAAAAAAAACAAAACCCTTCAAGCCCCACTCAAAACAAAACAGCAAAGGCACCTTCCTTCTGTGTTACTGTAAATTAATTTTAGAGGCGGGCAGATCTCTAACTCAGCTACAGACATAAACCCAGGAGCATAAAGCTCAAAATAAAGCTGGGTCATTGCATCCAGACCACCATGGTAGCTGGCAAACAGGTAATAACTGATTAGTTAGCAAAGTCCGCAGAACATCCATTCCGTATATCCCCTATCTCACAGTATATTTCCCCGTACTCTGCACCACTTTACATCCTGCACTGATGTACCACAGACATTTCTGACACCTTAGGTCTCTGTGACAGACATAAAAGTTGTTGTTTTTTTAAATATATTCTTAAATGACATAGTTTGGGTTAAAATTTTCACCCATAAATTTGAGCCTCATTTATGGAACCTCTCAAAATCCTTCTCATTTATTGAAAGACAAATTCTAGTTAAAGATACACCAAGAAAGGACATTCAAATAGAGCAACTTACCTAAAACATGACCCAAATCTGAATCTCAATGGTCACCAATTCCTGGCAATTCCAGTTTAGTCTGGGACTAAGAAACAGAAGCAAACAAATATATAAATACATGCCACTTTTTTTCTGAATGCATTCATGCTGGACAAAAGTGAAGAAATGCAGAAGATATGGTCTTGTTTTTCATTTTAGGAAGAACTAGTTTATTTAAGAGAATCATTCAGCTAATCTAATGTGTTGCCAATAGTTGTTATTTGATACCAAGGAAATAAAAAGACTCGATAGAGCAATTCAGATGATTGCAAATAATAGGGAGGTAAGTCCGTATGGCCTCCTAAATCATAACAGTTTCTACATTGTTTAAAATACAAATCACACAGAGTGGTCAAAATCCACCTTTAATTCTCAGTCTAATGATTACATTGGTCAATTTCCAAGACCACAGCTAAAGGCCATGAGAACTTTTAAAATATTTTCCCATCCATATGCATACTGTCCCAAGCAGTGGAAAAAAAAAAAGAGAAGTAAAAAGGCAAGCAACCAAGAAAGAAGAAGAACAAAAACCACACAGACAGCACAGTAGTGAAATAAAACTTTCGACATGGAGTTACTGCAAATGAGCTTTGAAATCACCAGGAGACATTACGATCTTCATTTAGCATCCCGTCAAATTCTCAGAACTGTTTTGAAAGGCGGAAGGGGCCGCATATAGCGTCTTGGACCTCTTTACTATGGGTTTGAGGAGTTTCAGGTTTCTTTCGTTTTTTAATTTGCTTTCCCGTGTGAAACAGATTGTCATAGAAAATTATTTCAAGACCTTTCCCTTCGCTTTCCTGTGCAGGGCTACAACAGAGTAGTATTAGCATCTGGTTCTGCATATGCTTAGAAGCCCATTCATTTCAAGCCACTTTGAGAATTAGGGCCATGACATGTATTAATTCACTACAAATTCTGATATGCATAGGTTTTATTCTTAAAATTTCAAAATACCCAAAAATCTCTGCAAGTCTCTTGGGAGAATAACTTTCTGGGGAATCGTGACATTCTTCATAGCATTCTGATAAAGGAGCAGTATGACAAAAACTTGGTCTTATAAAAAAGCTGGATAATATCAAAATAAAAATACGAATACAATTTTACGAGCTGTATTAGTCATAATTAACCACTCAGGAGAAATGTCAGTGTATACAGATCTGCCATGTGAAAAGTACTACTGAATATTTTAGCAATTTTTTCAGAAGGTACTGAACTTTTCTTGCAATCAATTATTCATCCATAAAACTTTCCTTTCCTTATTTTCTCCTCAAATTATTGCAGAACTTTCTTCGTCTCGGTAAGATCAGGGGTGTAATCGCATGCATGTATACAGTACACAGACAAAAACACATACCCATTAAAAAAGCTGCAACAGATACCACCCCCAACTCTCCCCAGTTGTACATTTGATGCTTGCTGGTGCCATTAAGCAAACACAAAACAACAGCAAGCGCATTCTGTTGAAATGTTTAGCTAAATGGAACCAAAACAGTCACAGTTCACAATTTCATAAATACATTAATTAGAAGTGTCTCCAAATAGCATGTGATTTTGAATTATTAACATAAAACACTGCATTATAAATGACTGCAAATTGCATTCCTTAGTGCTCTCCATGCTTAATTTATTATGCCGTAGGAAAATTTGCAAATTACTTCACTGTTTTATATTTAATGGATAGTTTTATATGTATATTGTTTCATTAAGATAAAATTAAACCACAGTGTACATATTATATGCCTTTCCAGTGACATAAATGTCACTAGAGACCCTCAGACTTTGTCAGGAGGGGAACGTGCTTCTGTCATCCCCTAGATTTAATAACGAAGTGAAGAGCAGGTTTGAGTTTCTGCCCTTTCTGTGCCCATCCACAATTGCTCTTCCCAGCCAACCCATTTCTGAGGTCTGAGAAGGGCACTACAGAAAAGTTTCCTGTCATTTGAAAGTACAGAGAGGGGTGGTGGAGCAGCCATCCCTTCTCTGCCTCTGTGGTTTGAGGGCAAAGGGGTCTTTTCAGCAGTGGTCTCTGCTGCTAGGGCAATGCAGTCATCACATCGCCCATGTTTTGTAGGTGAGGAAGAAGGTAGCAAGCCAGGTGAGCCTGCTGCCTCAAATCCCACAAATGAAAGTACCTCTGGAGTACTGCTTCAATCTCCCAGGAAGAAGAAAATAAGTTTGGCATGGGCTGGTGTAGTACACTGCCAAGTTATCTGCTGTCACATCTTCCTGCAGTAGGGAAAGGCTGGAAATAAAACATATTAGGAAATCCTGGTGAGGCTAGGTGGGGATAGACGTCTGGAGAAACATCAGCGAGAGGGGGTGAAGGACATTGCATTCAAAAGGAAAATCCATTAAAAATTTAACCATAAAGACATTCATCTTTGACAACTTCTTTGTATGTTGTCTGTTCTTAGCTATTTGTCCTCTTTATTTGTAAATTCCTCATAAGAGGAATTGCCTCTAACTATGTGCTTGTAGAGTGCATATTACAATGGGGACTCAACTTCCCTGAAAACCTGAAATGCAAATAGAGCATAAATAATAGATATTATTTATGATACATAAAAAAGTAACATTGGGCCATGAAGAGGCATTCTAGATGTGTTTAAATAGGCTGTCCAATTCCCTGTTTTCTGAGGACTAATAATATCACTTTGATGGATGTGATAGATGTTTCTTAGAACTCACTGTCAGGCTTTTTTATAAGATAGAAAATATGCTGGTTACCTGTTTGCACAGGATCCACACAGTTTTCAGATGTCTTTTTGTTTAATAAAAATATAGCACAACAAAATGCTGCAGGATGGATAGGAGGAGGAAAGATGGCATATTTGGGCAAAGCTATAAATTCTGTTTTATGTTAAAATTGTATTAATGAAATTGAAGCTACAAGAAGATGAGCACAGGAGAGAGAGACAGCCCTCTAAGCTATTCTTTTCAAGTAATGAAGATGAGACTGTCAGAGATTGAGGTGTCAAAACTGGAAGTGCTGGAACAAATTCACAAATTAAAGAGCAACAAGTCACCATGACCAGATGGCATACATCTGAGAGCTCTGAAGGAACTTAAGAATTAAGTGGTTGAGCTGCTAACAGAAAAATATGCAGCCTTTCATTAAACTGCTATCATGCCAGAGGACAGGAGGTAACAAATACCTCGTCTCACAAAATCTGGAAGGTGTGTTCCTGCGAGCTTGATTAAAGCTGTAGATTGCTTTTCTCTTTTAATCATCCTGGCTTCAGAGAGAAGTTCAGCAGATCCAGCAAAAACAGCTAGCCTCAGCCAATTGGGAGCCTCCAGTGAAGGCGAGCGCGAGGGGTTTGCTGATTCAGCATACAGTGGTGACCATTAACCTGGATGTGGCTGGAGGGCCTTCCAAGGACTGACTTAAGTGATAATTAAAAAACAACTGCCCTAATTACCCCCTGCCTTCTCAAACACCCACAGGTACCTATCTCTCAATTGGTTAACTCTTTCCTTGGCACATTTATGAATAGGATGATAGGGCAAAGCTATTGCTTTACTAACCCCAGAAGTTTCCTTCTTCCTTTATGTCCTGCTTTCATTTTCTTGTGATCCAGAAAAGAAGCTCTCTGTGGGAACATACAGAGGAGGAGGCATGGAGAGTTAAAAATTAGCTCAACATCTACCTGTGCAGCACAAACCATGTACTTGTATCATTGCATCGATTTTAAGGTGAGTGTTCAATTGTCTAGTCCTGCTGTGCTGTTACCTAGTGTGCATGCAAGCACACAGCCCAGCTGATGGGCATGAAACCATGCAGATGTGTCCCCACAGCCTCAGGTGCACCTTGCATTCACAGATTAGCAGTGCAGGGCACCAGCAGCACATCCATGCCTTTTCCTGCCATGTAGAAGTGGAGAACCCTACCTCCACAAAAGCTAGGCTGACAGATACAGGCATCTTTGATCCCATCTTCTGGGTGTTACAGAGCAGAGGTTTTGCACTATTGTGCTCATATCAGATTGAATAAAGTAAATCTTCCTTCTAGGTACTTAGCCTGGGACAGACAATGTTAGGATTTAGGAAAGTCATCTCTACCAGTGAAGGTCTGCCAGTCACTGGCACTACTAAAAAATATATGCCTCACTTCTAAATTAAATACACCTAGCTTCCATGCTCAGCCACTTGTTCTTGTTGCATTCTTATGGTTAATGGAAACCCTCAGGAATCAAGTTACTGCTTTGAAGATTACAAACAGATTTCAGACTATCAAAGCAAGAGCTGTGGGGGAACAATTTAGACACCCAAAAAAAACCATTTGGAGTTTTAATTGAAAAAAAAAAACAAAACCAGAAAAAATATCAGGTCCTTCTTCAACAGCCAAATCAACCCACGCCTTGTAAGAGCTTTCATTTGCAACAACTAGAGACTCTCCTACCATTTCAAACTATTCAGAATGGGAGAACTGTTATCTAGGATGTACAGAACAGGAGGGGAAATATCTGCTTGAGAATAACCAGCCACTTGGCACTTCAGACATGTATTTCCAACATATAAGAGTGAGACTCACGTCACTGCTTTGAGTGAATGCCTGAAGCTATTATTCGGGTGAAAAAGGCTGTCTTTCTAGTTAGGATGAGAAGTTCTATCCATGTAGAAAAGAAAATATACACGTAGACAGGAGGTTTTAAAAATACTTTTCTTTCCCCACAAATTAAATAGTTTGTAAGAGAAAACTCCTGGCCATGAACAGTCTTGCTTGCTTAAGGGCTTCACAGCCCCCTGAAGTGACTTTCCTTGCCGCAGAGGATAGCTGTAAAGCAGATTTTGGGAACCCCTGATTTAGCTGCATGGGCTGGGGCCAGCTCTTACCTTGCCAGTATTGTTCAGCCTAGCAGTCAGGCTGAACATACAAACGCTTAAGGACTCCTTGCCAAATGCAGTGAGCATGAAGTGTGGGGCTTCTTTTCTCTGAAGTGGGTGGTCTAGAAAGTGAAACCTCTTCTTCCACAGATGCAACAAAGGAACAATGGCTACATCAGCTATACATAACAACAGCTTTGGGACTGTGATTTGATTCTATCTAACCTGGATCATCATCCTAGCTACAGTTGACGGAGTGGTGCAAAGAAGTGGTGCTGTCTTCTGATAACTGTTGCTAAACCTTGTTTCTCCTTTCGAAGCATATATACTCATATATATATTTTAAATAAACTATGGGCATTTCTTCGGGGGGGGGGGGGAGGGATGCAGAGGATAACACTGACTGGTTTAAACTTTTTACTTCTTGATATTTCAAACACACACATCTGTGAATAAAGATCATAGCATAAGCAGAAGTCCTATCGGGATAGGTGGGCTGGGGTAAACCATCATCTTTCATGTTTTCTCCCTCTGATGGATCTGCTGGAAAAATGGCATATTTTTTATGATGTTTCAAAGGTTATCACTTTCATTATTAGCAAAGGATCATTTCACCATTGTCGTTGTCTCAGTTTCCACCTTCAGAAAGGTAAGTTCTAGTAGATACATCCAAGTGCTCTGGGTGGTCAAAGCCACCCAGTCTTCTCCTGGAATGGGCAATCCAAGGTTTTAGGTCATGATGGAAAGTCCCATCATGAATGACTCTTGTATTTTCAAAATCTGACGGAGGAACCACAGGCAGATGTTCTCGCAGAAAAGTGAAAAACAGGATATGTGTGGGAGTCCTCACTGGGAAGAATGGTGGCAGTCCTGCAGATTAAGTAATGACCATAGGACTCAAGCTCAGCAGAAATCTACAGCTTAAAAATAGCTAACCCTCCCAACATATTCCCTGCACATTCTTTTCATGGCAGTCACTTCCTTACCCTAAATCGGGCAATAAATATGGACAAATTCACAACTTGCTCTAGTGACATTTAACCTAGAAATACAAGCCATTTTTCATGTTTTATCACACATTAATTCCACTCATGATTATGAAAACCCAAGTTTTCCCATGCTTGACTCAAATCAAGGCATATGCCAACATTTTTGCAATCCCTAGGCTGGTGTAGTGCAGCTTATTCTTCATGAAGCTATCATTGGAAAACTCCATATGGTTCAGAAAATGGATGTGCATCTCTTAAGTGATCTCCAGTGGTCACTGGCTGCTCTCAAAAAAAGCTTCTGGTGCTAAGACTGCTACCTTTCTCCATAGCTGAGAACCCACTCTGCAAAGAGATGGCCATTGTCACATCCCAGTTGCAGTCATCATGCTCTGTGGGCTTCTTGCAGACCTTGATGCTCTCTCAGCAGAGGGTTTCTGTTAGCTGCACATCTCTCTGGCTGCATCCATCATCTGCTGGAGTTTCAGAATCAGTTCAATCTCTACACTCTTTTGGAACCACCAGAAGCTCAATTTGAAGAGTTCAAATTGGCCTGAGTCATCTATCTGTTTTTCAAATCTCTAATTGGCTTTTGGCAAAATTTACTTCAGCCTCTAATTTTTATAGCATATTTACTGTTAGCATTATTTTCTTCTGGTTGAAACTGGCAGAAGGCAGACAAGTGTCACAAATTCATGAAACTGTGATAGATACTCAATGAAGCTGAAATAATTTCTTTTGTGTAGTTGAAACAGACTCAAATAACCAAATCAAGTTGATCCTGACTGAAAACTAAGCTTGGTTTCTTGGATCATGAGCTGAAGTGGCTTCAGGACTTTCGGCTATAAACCTACTAAACCGAAAGCGCAAACTTTGTACCACCCAGTGGAGCCAGGATATCCCTCAGTATCCTTTTCCCTAACAATGTTTGGACACAGAGACCTGGATGCAGGCTGTGGGCCCAGGCAGGCAGTAAGAAAGTGGGTTTGGAAAAGCCAGTGTAATCTATGTGCCTTTACTGCCTGGACGGCTCCCTCCTGCTGGAGTTAATAAAGGCAGGTCTGGTGCCAGGTTTCTCCCCAGCTTGCTATCCTTCTCCATCCAGCTGAAACAGTTCAACTGGAAATGTGGGGGTATGCTGGGACCAGCCTGAAGCACTTCTCCAGAGAATGCAAGAGACCGCCACAGTGGATGGACCATCTTGATGGGTTTGATATCAAAGAAAAACAGCGTCTGTTTGATGTTGTGCAGCACTTTGGGTAAGGTCGTTAACAGGCTGTAATTTCTTTCATTTTGTGGAAGTCTCATGTCCCTGAGCTTTGCTCAAGACCCAGAATCTAATGTCTTTGTCTGTTTTCTCCCTGACAAGTCTCAGAGATATTAAAAATCAAAAGAAGACTCTAAGGAGCAAATAAAGCATCTTTAAAGT